TTGAGGGCCACTCACGCTGGCTGCTGGCTACACATGGTAGCCCATGGCAACCCACTGCAGCAGGGGCTGCAGCCTACACTGTCGCCGGTGATTTACTGCAGCCCAGCTCCAGGTTGAGCTGTTGTTCAGCATCTTAGCTGTAGAGGGCAGTGTCACTACCCTTCATATATGGGATCTGAACCCGGGCCCTCTGGTGTTCCAAGCCAGTTCTTAACCAATGCGCCTCTTGGCTGGCCCTCATAATAATTTTTTTAAAAATACTTAATAGAAGAGAATTTAGTAATCTAATAAAGGTACCTATAAAAAACCTACAGGAAATGTCATACCTCATAGTAAAATCTTGAAAGCTCTCCCTTTGAGGTTGGGATCAAGATGACTGCTATTCAACTTTGTACTACAAGTCCTAACCAGTCCATTAGTAGAGAAAATAAAAGTTTTGGAAATGCATAATGTCTGATGAGGACAAAACCAAACTCTTATTATTTGCAAGTTATATAATTGTATATATAGACATTCCATAAGAATCTTCAGATAAACTACTAAATTTAAAAAGATAGACAATATATAAAAATTTCAAAGAAAAAAATGTTTAGTTAAAATGTCCATATAGCTAATAGATATATTCAATGCAATCCTTATCAAACTACCAATGACATTTTTCACAGAACTAGAATAATCCTAAAATTTATACAGAACCATAAAAAACCCTGAATAGCCACGGAAATCTTGAGAAATAAGAACAAAGTGGGAGGTATCACACTATCTGACATCAAATCATACTACCAGCCTATAGTAATCAAAACAGCATAGTATGGGCATAAAAACAGATACATAGATAAATGGAACAGAATAGAGAGCCCAGAAATAAATCCATGCCTATATGGTCAGTTAATCTATGACAATGGAAGCAAGAATTTACACTGGAATAAAGACAGTCTATTTAATAAATGGTGCTGGGAAAACTGGACAGATACATACAAAAAAATGAAACTGGACCACCTTCTTAAACCATATACAAGAATAAATTCAAAATGGATTAAAGATTTAAATGTAAGACCCGAAACCATAAAACTCCTAGAAGAAAATATAGGAAGTAAATTCACAGACATTACGCTTAGTAATACTTTTACTGATATATCCATTCGGGCAATGGAAGTAAAATATATATATATGTGTGTGTGTGTGTGTGTGTGTGTGTGTGTGTGCCGCGCGTGTGCGCATGTGTGTGTGTATGTGTGTGAGAGTACATCAAACTAAAAAGTTTTTTCACAGAAAAGGAAACCATCAACAAAACAAAAAGGAAGCCTACTGAATGGGAGAAGATATTTGCCAATGATATGTCTGGTAAGGGGTTAATATCCAAAATTTATAAAACACTCATACAACTCAACACCAAAAAAATAAACAACTCAATTAAAAAATGGGCAGAGGACACAAAGAGACATTTCTCTAAAGAGGACATATAGATGGCCAACAGGCATATGAAAAAATGCTCAACATCACTTATCATTAGAGAAATGCAAATTAAAATCACAATGAGGTACTACTTCACACCTGTCAGAATGGCTATCATCAATAAATCAACCAACCAAGTGCTGGCAGGAATGTGGAGAAAGGGAACCCTCATGCACTGTTGGTGGGATTGCAGATTGGTGCAGCCACTATAGAAAACAGTATAGAGGTACCTCAAAAAATTGAAAATGGATCTACCTTATGACCCAGCAATTCCACTCCTGAGTTTCTATCCAAAGGAATCCAAATCACTAATTCAAAAAATATATACACCCCTATGTTTATTGCAGCACTATTCACAATAGCCAAGATAAGGAAACAACCGAAATGCCCATGGATAGACTTTTGGATAAAGAAACTGTGGTATGTTTATACAATGGAGAATTATTTGGTCATAAAAAAGAATGAAATCCTACCATTTGCAACAGCATGGATGGACCTAGAGAATATTATGCCAAGTGAAATAAATCTGACTGACAAAGACAAATACCATATGATCTCACTTATATATATGTGGAATCTAAATAACAGGATAAATGAGCAAACAAAACAGAAATAGACTCAGAGATACAGAGAAAAAACTGACGGTTGCTAGATGTGGGGGATGGGGGAAAAGGTGAAGGGATTAGAAAGTGCAAATTGGAAGTCACAATATAGTCACAGGGACATGAAATAGAGTATAGGAAACATAATCAATGTTGTGAAAATTATATTGGGTGCCAAATGGGCACTGGACTTACCAGGGGGTCACTTCATAGACTGTGTAGATGGCTAACCATTTGAAGCTGAAGTAGAATAATACTGAATGTCAACTATAATTTTATATATATATGTATATATATATATATACATATATATATATATATATACACACACATATATATATAGTCACTGGATGTGGGGTGCAGCATAGGGAAGATAGTCATTGGCATTGTAACAGCTATATACGACATTAGAAGGGTAGCAGATTGGGGGGGGGTGTTACCACTTTGTGAGGGGTGTAAATGTCTATTACATTGCTTTGTACACCCGAAACTAATAAAAAAATAAAAATTGTAATTAGGAAAAAATTTAATGATTGATATTAATTTTATATAAAACAAGTTTTGTATTATATTATAGCCCAAAGTATAAAATAAATATCCATGAATCCATACTGATAAAAATAAAATGACTGAATAATAAGTGGGAGAGAAGAGACAAATCTCCCATGCAGAAGAATTCCAAATAAGTAATGTAGGCACTCCATTCTAAGGGAGAACATAACTCCCCAGTTCTTAAGAATGGACAGCATATAGTGTCTTCCTTCCAAACAGGATAGTATAGAAAGGGAGAGAAACAAGGTAGGAGACCAGACAAATACTACTTCAGCCTAGTGATCAAGGTCAACATCAATTATGATAAGTCATGTTGGTAATATGCACCCTTGATATCATGTGATGGAAACGGCACTTTACTTTTGTGATCCTTCTCCCAAAACTCAACTACCCAAGTCTAATCATGAGAATAAAATCAGATAAATTCCAACTTCTCAAAACTGGCAAGGTCGTCAAAAACAAGGAAAGTCTGAGAAACTGCCACAGCCAAGAGGAGCCTAAGGAGACATGACAACTAGATATAATGTGGTATCTTAGATGGATTCCTAGAATAGAAGAAGGACATTAAGTAAAAACTAAGGAAATCTGAATAAACTGTGGGGTTTAGTTAATAATGTATCAATATTGGCTTATTAATTATAACAAATGTTCCATACTAATGTAAGATGTTAATGAGAAAGGAGTTTGAGTGGGTGTGCATATAATATGGGAACTCTCTGTACTATCTGCTCAATTTTTCTGTAAATCTTAAACTGTTCAAAAAAACCAGTCTATTAATTATATAAATTAATTGTACTTTTGTATTCAAGTAACAAAAAGATGAAAAAAATTAAAACTACAATTTAATATAACATTAAAAGATATTAAGTACTGAAAATATATCTAACAAAAAATGTGCAAAACCTTACAGAGAAAATTATAAAATATTAACAGATATCAAAGAAGAGGTGAATAAATAAAATGTTTATTATGAATTGGAAGACTCTATATTGTAAATGTGCTCATTCTCTCCATTTTTAAATGCATTTCTAATAAAAATCTCAACAGATTTTTGTGGGATGTGAAAAACCGATTCTAAAATTTATGTAAGAAAAAGACAAATTTGGGCCGGCCAAGTGGCGTGTTGGTTAAGGGCTGGCTTGGGACGCCAGAGGGCCCCGGTTCAGATCCCACATATGAGGGCCAGTGACACTGCCCTCTACAGCTAAGATGCTGAACAACAGCTCAACCTGCAGCTGGCCTGCCGTGAGTCGCCGGCAACAGCATAGGCTGCAGTGGGTTGCCACAGGCTACCATGTGTAGCCAGCAGCCAGCATGAGCAGCCAGCAGCCACAGTGAGCGGCCATCCAGAAGCCGGCGACTGATCTGTCTTGCCCAGGAAGAGCACAATGATGGTGCCAACTTGGGCCAGTGAAGCAACGTCCTCCACAATTAGACTGAAGAACAAAAGGACAGCAATTTGTCTGTTCCCCTTCCCCCAATTCCCCAAAAAAAATCTTAAAAAAAAAAAAAAAGAAAAAGACAAATTCTCTAAACTTATTATCAATTTGATGCAATCTCAATCAAAATCCCAAAAAAATATTTTATGGAATATGATAAGCTAAGTATAAAATTTGTATGAAAATGCTAAAGGGCCAAGAACAAGCAAGAAACTTGATAGAGTGGGAGGACATGCTCTACCAGGTATCAACTTATTATTGTTATTACATTTAACCTGTTGAAATTAACTCAGTGTGTTACTGATACAAGGATAAAAAGGCCAGTGGAACAGAACTGAATGTTTTAAAACAGATCCACACATAGATAGACACTTGATATACGGTAAACGAGGCATTGCAGATCAGTGGGGAAAGGGGTAGTCTCTTCAATAAATACATAAGTGCTTACATATGTGGAAAAATAATTAAATTGGACCTCACACTATTCGCAAAAATAAAATTCCAAAAGGATTGAAAACCTGAACCTGAAAGGCAAAACTAAACAGCTTTCTAGGAAAGGATACAAGGGGAAAAAAAAATCTTGATGACCTTGTGTAAGAAAAATTTTCTTAAACAAGACACTATAAAATAAAAGATTGCTCTATTTGACTGTATTTAAATTAAGAACTTACAATAGACAAGATATGGAATCTACTAAGTATCCATCAATAGATGAATGGATAAAGAAGTGCTATATATATATATATATATATATATATATATATATATATATATATATACACACACACAATGGTATATTACTCAGTCATAAAAAAGAATGAAATCTTGCCATCTGCAACAATGGATGAACTTAGAGGGTATTACGCTAAGTGAAATAAGTCAGACAAAGAAAGACAAATACCATATGATTTCACTTATATGTGAAATCTAATAAAACAAAATAAATGAACAAACAAAACAGAAACAAAATCATCAATACAGAGAACATTTTGATGGTTGCCAGATGGGAGGGATGTTGGGAACATGGGTGAAAAGGGCGAAGGGATTAAGAAGTACAAATTGGTAATTATACAAATCATGGAGATGTAAAGTATAGCACAAGGAATATAGTTAATAATATTTCTACAACTATGTATGCCATCAGATAGGCACTAGATTTATCAGGGTGATCACTTCATAAGTTATATAAATGTTTAATCACTATGTTGTACACCTGAAACGAATATAATATTGTATGTCAAATGTAACTGAAAAATAAAAAATTATTTAAAAATAAATAAAACTAGTAACCTCTGTTCATCAAAAACACCAGTAAAATGTTAAATTACAGCATTAAGAAGGGATACTTATCAATAACATATTCAAAACTATTACACTGAATTATATACTTAAAATGGTTAAGATGGTAAATTTTGTTATATTTTACTTGCTACACATTTTTTTTATAAAACTATTACAAGTCAATAGGAAAAAGACATAACGACTGAAAAGAAAATTGGGCAAAAGACATGTACTGGCAGTTCACAGAACTCTAAATGATCAATATGCATATGAAAAGTGTTCAAATTCATCTGTTTTCAGGAAAATACAAATTAAAAATACAGTGACTGCCATCCAACAGAGTGGCAAAATGTTAAATATCTCATAATAGGAAGTAAGGGTAAAGATGTAAAATAATAGGACTGTTATACACTACTGATAGGAGTATAAAATTGGAAATGAGTTTTGCCTTAGCTACAAATAAGGTTGAAAATAAGTATATAACACCTGAAGAAACACATGAACATATGCACCAGGATACATGTACAGATATGCTCCCAGCAGCATGGCTACTAACAGCAAAATAGAAACAACTCAAATTTCAGAACAGAAAATTAAAATAATAAATATTGTATAGTTACAGAATATGGGTTACTAGACAGCAATGAAAATAAACTAAAGTTAAGGAACAACATTACTAACATAATGTTGACAAGATACAAAAGAATAGAAACAGTATAATTCTATTTATATAAAGATCAAAATGAGACAAACGTTAGCTATATTGATTGGACTGCATATTTAGATAATAAAACTATAAAGAAGAGCAAGGAAGTGATTAAAAATCAGGCTAGTGTTCACATCCAGTAAAAGACAGATTGTGATGCGCTTCTAGGACATTGGTAAGATTCTATTTCTTTCCCTGGGCAATAATTAATGGGTGTTTATAACATTTTAAATTGTACAATTTATTTTTATGCAATTTTTGTATGTGTTATGTTTCACATTTTTAAACAAAAAATTAGAATACAATATAGATGAATAGGTATATAACCTTGTTCTGAGGAAGGCATATGTATAATACTAAATGTAGAAACTATAAAAGAAAAAAAATTTAATCTATGTTGTTTAAAGATGCACATGTAGTTTGTGGAACTAAAAGAAAAAATAGGTATGATTACTGTAGAAAACAAGTGGAAACCTTTAGTGGGGGAAGGAGATAGTAGTTATGATCAGAAAGTCACACGCAGAGTACTTCTGGGTACTGGCAATAGCCTATTTCTTGACCTGGGTGGTGGCAACATAGGTGCTTACATTATTAACTATTTGTTTAACTATATGTTTTATATAGTTTTAATATGTTTATATTTCACAATGAAAAAAAACTATTTTAAAATACATATTGTAGATTAAAAAATACCTTGATCCTTAAAGCCAAGTCTTGAATTCCTATTGTCCGGGCTTTTTCCACATAAGATATCAGATCCATCATCTCTTCTGTTGTCTCAGGGACTTTTAATGCATGCTCTTTAATTGCTTCAAATTCACTGCAAATACTGACATAATATTTTGCTTTACTATATTTATGGTAATTAATGCTGTATCATGCTCAGTAAATGTGTTATTATGATTACTATAAAATAGGAACTGTGATATCCTAAAAATAATTGGTTAATTCACTAAGATATCTTAAAATATTTAAGCATAACATCTGATACAATTTAGCATACATCATACTTCTATAAAATTAAGGTAATATTTTCATGTAAAAATGACTTTATATATAATTTTTTTATTTTTATTTTTTACTGATCTCTTCAACTCTCTTGAATACACAAATAAGCAGTGTAACACAGACCATACATTGGATCAGGTAGCCCTAAATCTAAATCCTGCCTCAGCTGTTACTAGCTTTGTGAACTTAGGCAAATCTCTGAGTTTAATTTCCATATCTGTAAAGTGGTTATTAACATTCATCTTGGCAAACTGTTGTAATACAATAATGAATGTAAAAGAAGCAAGTACATACCATGCTCTCATTTACTAGTAACTATAATTGTTAGTATAATCATTAGTTTTATTATTATTATTAGTGCCTCTTGTGAAACATGGCAGTCTAACAGGTAAAAAGATCAAACCCCTGTACACAATTTTAAAAATCTATAATTCTCTTAGAGTATCTTATATATGTAAGTATAAACATCCTATAGCCACCCTTCAACTAAATATACATTTCATAGAACTTTTTCCCCTGTGCTTTGCAATATCTGTATTGTCATGCAGTTATAAGAAATATCAGGAAAACCTCATGCAAAAATAAAGTATAAAAGGCGTAAGTGGTTTTAAGAATAAATTTAGTTCATGTAGGTATTTTATTTCTATTGTATGGTAATCATACTTATTCATTAATTTAATACATAATTATCTACAATATGCTAAGCAAAGTTCTAAGAAACGGAGATATAGCAGCAAACAGATCAAGTCCCTTCCCTTATAAAGCTTACATTCAAGCTGAGAAACAAAAGCATATAAATACATAACACAATGTTAGGTAGTAAAAAATGCTGTGAAGAAAAATAAAGCAAGGTAAAGCAATAAAGGATGATGGAGTGTAGAGAAAGGGCCATTATTTTATATCGAGTGGCCAAGGAAGGCCTCTGTAGTGAGGTGATTTTCAAGGTAAAAAAACAGTAAGTCATACAAATATCAGGAAAAAAAGCTTCCAACAAGAAAAAATAGCAAGGACAAAAGCCTGAGGTAGCAATAAGCTTGGCATATTTTAGGAATGGCCAGCATGAATGTAGAGGACATAAAATGAAGTTGGACAGGTAGGCAGGTTTCAGATCACGTAGAGCTTGATAATTAATTCTTGATTATCAAAAATTTAGGAGGTATGTATTAATGTGGATAATGCAAAAAAGATGTATGATCCTACTGCGGGTGCTTTCTTCTGCTAGAGAAGAATCCGAGTGTTTTGGGGAAAGACTGCAGCAAAAGAAAAGGAGGCATAAAACAAAAAACAAAGAAAAGGAGGCAAACCTAATGAGAGCACAGTAGCCCAAGCAGATTAAACCAAACTGAGAAGTAAGCAAATTGCTCTTTAATGATTATTAATTTAATAAATTGTACTTAGTGACACACATTTCCTCCTTTTCATGTTACCTATCTCAAATATGGAATTAAAATAGTAAGGAATTAAAGAATGCACTAGGTAGAGGAAAGTTTTCAACTGTTCTTATGTCATGGGTTTATAATAAGATATAATTATTTTACAGGAATGGAATTTTTCAGAAAAGGCACAGATACGATAAAAATAAATACCAAAAAAAGTAATGTTAAACATAAATCATTTTTAGAATAACTATGGCATTGTCATTATGCAACAGGATTGTTAGAAATGGATAATCTAATACTTCAGCATCTTTGATATCTTTTTTTTTGTTTTTAGATTTTATTGGGGAATTGGGGAAGGGGAACAGACAAGTTGCTGTCCTTTTATTCTTCAGTGTAGTTGTAGAGGGTGTCGCTTCACTGGCCCATGTTGGTATTATCATTGTGCTCTTCCCAGGTGAGGCAGTCGCTCACCGGCCACTGAATGGTCGCTCACGGCCACTCACGCCGGCTGCCAGCCGCTCACGGCAGCCAGCTCCAGGTCGAGCTGTTGTTCACTATCTTAGCTGTAGAGGGTGCAGTGTCACTGGCCCTAATGTGGGATCCGAACCAGTGTCACTGGCCCTAATGTGGGATCTGAACCGGGGCTCTGATGCTCAGAGCTGACGTCCCAAGCCAACTCTTAACCAAAGCGCCACTCAGCCAGCCCTGCATCTTTGATATCTTTTGTGCAGTATACTTTTGTATGAAGTGTGTATGATAAATACTTGACTTCCTGACAGTTATGTTTTTCATTCATTTAAAAATATTTATTGATGTGAGAGCTCCCTTTATTGGGTGCTTATTCTATAAAGCATGGTGCTAGATGCATTACAAATATTATCTGGATCCTAACATTAGTTGTTCATGGAGGGTATTTTTTCATAGCTGGCAAAGCAGAAAACTGAGGCTCTGTGAAATTAACTTGCGTAGAGTCATGAAACTCATTCCTGGAAAAGCCAGGATTCAAATGCAGGTCCTTCTGATTCCAAAGCACATAATTTTCTTACATTGCTTCTGGGAAAATAAACATAATAGCTAACATTTATTGAGTACCATGTTCTGGGCACTGTTAGGGTGCTTCATACGAGTATATACATATTACTTTTAATCTTTACAAAAGTTACAAACTAAGATTCCTTTAGGGTTAGGCAGGTAACAAATGAGTTAGATGAGTTGGATGATGAGTTGCTTAAGCACTGGGTAAACCACACCAGAGGGCACATTCCTTGTTAAAAAGGAAAACTGCTTCTCAGCTCCATTTACCATTGCAGGTCCAACCCAGCAAGGCATGGTCTTGCCACTTTTCAAGAAAAGTAAGAGATGTGTGTGTGTGTGTGTGTGTGTGTGTGTGTGTGTGTGTGTGTGTAATCTTCTAATGTTAAAATGTTGACAGCATATTCAAAATTTGTTTAAATAAAATGCAGTGTGAGACAAGTAAAGCACATTGGCATACTACATTCAGCTAGCAGACCACAAGTTGATTAATCCAATTTTATAGCCAACCTGCAAAGTATTCTGTCTCCATTTTACAGATGAGAAAAATAAGCCAGGTGATGCAACACGTAAATATTGGGGTCAGAAATAATTGCAGATATTCCCAATATTAACGAAAATCTACAGTCTGTCCATTTTCATGCAACCTGTATCCAAACAGTGGTTTATTTCAATTTCTTCTTCTTCTTTTTAAATCCTGGGTTGCCTCAAAACTAGCCTCAAATAGTATTAAACAAAATAGAAACCAGACCAACAGGACTACAAAGGAACCTCCTTAGGCAGCAACAATGGATAAAAAGTTGTAAGTATTATATTTTAATCTTTTCCTTTTAAACAAGAGTTATTACTAGCAAAATATTTCTTTTAGCTCTATAATTCTAAGTTTAGCAACTAATTGTACTTACCATTCATTTTCTTTTCTATGTTTTGAAGCTATGTCATTTAATAATATGTTTGTAAAGGCTCTTGCTTTGTTTGTTAGGCCTGTCTTCAAATCTTCACAATCCAAATGCACCATAGGGTAATGAACCCACTGAGGCAAAAGCATTATTTCTGAGGCAAGACTGAGAAATTTTCCTATAAACTTTAAAAAAAGGTTTAGAATTTTTAAATTCATCAATGATTTTATAGTACTGTATTATGATAAAGTTATTAATTACATAATATAAATGCAAACTCATTTCTTTTTGCTAAGTGACTAAAATTTTTCCCTTTGTTGCATAAATCTTTTTTTCATCTCTCCTTTCACTAAGGATTTTGCCAATCTACCAGTAAATATCTAATACGGTGCCATTATAGCATCAATCTCTGTACATTTCAGAAGGTGAAATTTCCCTCAGTAACTATAAACACACACACACACACACACACAACCTATCCCCAAAGTCAACTCATCTCTGTTTAGAAACAAATCTATATCATGTTGCAATTTACGTAGCCAACAAAATACTTGCTTGTGTTATTACTAATGCCTCACTGAAGGTTCTAATCAAATCTTTAGAAAATGAAATATAAGAAACTTCTTGGTTTTGGTCAAAATAATCCAGGAAAGAAACACTGTATTCTGCCATTACCAAGATCTAAAATATTGACATTTATACAACTTCTTAATACCCAACACTGGGATAATTTCTTTAAATTAAATAAAGTAGCAAACCTCAAAAGTTACACTTCATTTTGTGAAAGTGAAACATACCTACCAACTTAGGGCAACTTTGACTTAATTTCATAATACATCTTTAGGGTTGCCTTTAGACCTTCTTACTCACCCCATCTCCACCCTCCATCAAAATGCCCATTTCTTTTATTTTTCCTTAAGGAGACTTTTCCCTTTACGTACTTTCCTCTCTCTCAAGACTACTCTATTTTCCCACAGTCTCCAGTTTTCAATGTTTAAGGGAGCCAAAGATATTAATTAATTCAAAGACTACATTGAGTGCCTGCTTGGTTCTGGTTGGAAATATACCAAATAGAGAGTAGATAGAACTTATGGTACTAGAAAAGGGAGGATAGATGTTTTCTTACTCTCAAGTACCATCATCCAGTTTTTCTGTGATGTAATTAACAGATACAGAAAAGAAAATGGGCTGGATCAAAGAAAATATGGCACACTGGAAACAACACAAATGCCATTTACAGTAGAAAGGGTGGCATATTAATACAAGGGAATGTTATGCTATAACAAACTATAACTATACGGAGGAACTTCACGATGAGTGAAAAAAGAAAAAACAAAAGAATACATATGATATCTTCCATATAAACTTACCAAGGATAATGGATAAAACTAAACTATATTATCTAAGGATGCATACATAGGTGGTAAAACTATAAAGAATAGCAAGAAATATTAGGATAATAGTTACCAATAAATAAGAGAGAAGGTTATTGTTGGGGAAAGGCAGATGGGTGGCTTCCAGAGTGCTGCAAAGTTCTAATTATTAATCTAGGTAGCTGTTAGGTTATAATGACCTATAAATCTACACCCATATGCTTTACATGCTTTTCTATATTGTGCTATATTTCACAATATATTACACTTTTTAATGGAATATTTTAAACATATGAAAGTTGGCAAAATGTACCCATCATCCATCCAGCTTCAACACTTATGAAATCATGACCAATCTTTTTTTCTCTATTCCCCTATCCTCTCTTCTGTCCTGTTTTATTTTACACAAATCCCAAGAATCATATCATTTCATCTATATACATGTAATAGTTCATAATTGTTTTATTTCTCCCAAACAGGTATACTAACCACAATTACAGTATATAAACAATTGACAAAGAACTGCAGGACTGGATTAACTATGCCTAAAAGTCAATTTTTAAGCAGTTACATAAACCATCCAAAAATTATAATATTCTAGAAACTTTCACAGAAAATACTAGACCTAAAGGAAGAATCACAGTGAAACCCAATAAAACACATGTTCAGCTTAGAGATTTAAAGGTTATAGATAGTACAAGTTATGGACAAGACCACAAAAAATTTAGCTGTTGGCTCACACATTTACTGTGCCTATTTTCTGCACAGCATTATATTGAAATGTATGGTAAAATATAAATTAAAGAGAATATACTATATTTGGTTTTGTGACAGTAATAATGCATGTATGAATTCATAATATAGTTTTATAAGCACATAAAAATAAAATAAGGTAAAAGTATGCATATTAGAAGAATATATAATCATCTCAATAGATGCAGAAAAAGCATTTAGTAAAATTCAACATTCTTTCACAGTAATAACACTTAACAAACTAGGAATAGAAGATAATGTCTTCAACTTGATAAGGAGTATCTATGAAAAAAATCTACAACTAACATTACACTTAGTGCTTTACAAAACTAATGCTTTCCCTCTAAGATTTAGAGCAAAATAAAGATATCCACTCTCACCACTTCTACTCAACATTGTCCCAGCCAGGGAATTTAGGCAAGATAAATATATAAAAGATATCCATATTGAAAAGGAAGAAGTAATACAATCTCTATTTACAAATGATATTATATTGTATATAGAAAATGCTAAGCAATATGTACACATATATACATAAAAGTGAGAATTATACAAGTTCAGCAAGGTTGCAAGATATAAGACCAATATACAGAAATAAATTGTATTTCTAGACATTAACAGTGAGCAATCCAAAAATAAAGTCATTCCACTTATAGTATCTTCAAATTTTAAAATATTTCGAAATTAGGGTTCCAGTCAAGATGGCATAGTAGATAAATGCTGTGCTTCCCTTCTCTCATGACCACATCAAAATTATAACTAAACTACAGAGCAACCATCATTGAGAATCACCTGAAATCTTGCTGAACCGAAGCCCTACAACTAAGAACATATAGAAGAAGCCTCCTCGAGGCTGGTAGGAGGGGCAACGACGCACTCGCTGTGTCTCCCACCTGCGTGTGACCATTATAAGTCAGGAGGGATATCTCAGCTGCAGATGTCCCTCCCAGAGGAGCGAAGGACTCCAGCCCTGACCCAGCCCAGGGTTCTAGTGCTGAGGAGAGAAGTCCTCATAATTTCTGGTTGTGAAAACAAGCGGAGATTGTGGCTGAGTGAGATGGAGGGCAGCTACATTCCCAGGCACTCCTCTTAAAGGGACTGCACATGGACTTACTCACTGACAGAGTCACTGGCTCTGAGCTCCACTGCTGGGGAGGCAGCTGGACAGGGAGCAGGGACATATGGTTGGGGACTGAGTTGTCTGGCTTTGGGCTGGGGCTGGAGGGGCAGCTTTCTCCCAGAGGGAGAAGTTAGAGGAGGCCATTGTATCCTTGTTGAGCCCTCCCCCTCCCCAGCCTACAGATGTAGGCAGCTGCCATATCTGAGTCTCCCTCAAGCTGGCTAATGCCATTCATTTGCCACCCACTGGTGAATCAAGACTCCACCCCACCCAACTTGAAAGACATGATTACAAAAATAAAAACTCAAGGCACATACTGGGAGAAAATATTTGCAAAATGTATTTCAGATAAAAGACTTTTATCCAAAATATATAAAGACCTCTTAAAACTCAATTATAAGAATTTTTATAATAATATAGCCCAATAAAATAAATCTATTATTATCTAATGATATTAATAGAAAACCCCAATTTAAAATGTGCAAATTATTAGGACATCTTATTTTTAAAAAGACAACAGATGGAAAATAACAAATTAAAATATGTTCAACATCATTAGTCATTAGGTAAATGCAAATTAAAAACCTCCAAAACAAAGTACAAACTCTTGAGTAAAAACTCTTTTCCCATGTAGTTTCAATTTACATTTCCAACTTCATGTTCTAAATCCACCTATAAATATCTATTCAAAGCCTAGCTTACTTTTCACTTCTTCAAGGAACTTTCACCAATTTCCCAAAACAAAAACAATCATTCCCTCTTCTAAGCTTCCACAACACTTCACCCATCTCTCTATTCTAGTACTTATCTCAATATATTATAGTTATTTCTATGTCTGGCTTCCAGGCCACATATAAGCTCCTGAAAGCAATGTTAATATATTATTGATTTTTGCATCACAAAAATCTTGCTAGATGTCTGAATGTGATAAAGAAATATTTGTTGAATCAATGAATGAGTACATGAATGACTACAGAAATTATAATGGGAACCTATAAGTTTACTAAAATGAAATTTTGAATAAGAAATTCTATTAACTTTAATTGAAGTATTTATTTTCCAGAAAAACATAATTTAAAAAAGAAATTCAAAAGGCATTAATGAAAAACAGAATTACCACTTACCTCTGTGTATTCATCAAAAGTATGATCTTCTGCCTGAAAAGTCTCTATGAGCTCAGCTGCAGTCCCATCAAAGAGCCAATTATATTTTTCAACTGAAAATTAATAATCTAATTTAAATCTCAAAAATACCCTTTTAAAAAATCAAGTGCTTTTTTATATGGTTATCAAATGGAGTGCTTATTCAATTAAATATTATTATTAATCAAGTATTAACATACATTAAAAGGAATAGCTAGAATAAAATAAAATAGACTTAAGCAAACCAGGTTAAACAGAGATATTTTAAAATAAAGATAATAGGGCATGTAATGATCTTTAAATAACTTAAGAGGTACAAATAAGCCAGCTAATTAGAGATTTTGGGTAAAAGAATGTCAAATAATAACTATCTATTCTGATCCCACACACACTTGAGAAGACCATAAAATTGAGCTTTCGGCTCTACAAAACTATTCCTAGAAATTATGTTGCTTTCACCCTCGATTTAGCTTTCTCCTTATTCCAACATCTCTTCTTTCTACCTTTTTTTAATTTTAATTTTTTTGTAAATTTTTATTGGGTGTGTTTTTCCAGGACCCATCAGCTCCAAGTCAAATAGTTTTTTAATCTAGTTGTGGAGGGCACAACTCAGTGACCCATGTGGGGATCAAACTGGCAAACTTGGTGTTATGAGCACTGTGTTCTAACCAACTGAGCTAACTGGCCACCCTTTTGACTTTATCACCCTGCTCCATTTAATATTCACTCTTTGGACTGGACAACAGAATTCATGTTTCTTTGGTTTGATCCTTGATTCTGTCAAAAAGCCATGTCTACGTTCACTTCTGGCTCTCCCTGCTTTTTCATGAAACCCCTGGCAACGAAATATCTCACCAAATTCTAGTAAAATAAAATCTCATTCTTTTATGATAAAAAACATATAATATTATACGTCATATTTACCATATGCCTCATAATGGTTTTTTGCACTTTCTAAGTTACGGTGTATTGCCATTTTCAGCGAATTTAGAGCCCACTGTAACACGTGTTCGGGAAGTTGTGTGTCAAGATTTACAGGTGTTGAAGTTCCTGATAGCCAAGAGGATACTGTTTGGATATTCTAACATAAATAAAAATTACAATTTATAAAATAAATATCCGCAATTGGTCTATATGTAGATCTTGCACTATATTTTTTAATATTCTTTTCAGAGTTCAGTGGCCCAAGAAAAGATAACTTGATGCAAAATAATGATTTAAAGTTATATACTTAATAATCTAATATAAAACTTAAGTTGGGTTAGTTTTCTATCATTGAATAAATATTTATTGAGTAACAATAATGTCGAAGTGATTATACTAGAAAGTTCTAAAAAGAACATACACAACTTGGATCTTGTATTTAAGAAGCTCATAACTCAGTAGGGAAGATGAGACATGCACAAAAATATCATAACTACAATAAAACTTCTAAGAGGAAGACGTCATCTTCAGCCAGGAGACTTTCTCAAAGAAAAAGCACTTTTTAATATAAAATAACTTTGAGGATGGAAATGAAACAAAGAGTTATAACATTTTATGTACATAAGTACTTTATAGAGCTTCAACTCAATTTAAAATTCTGAAAAAGAGCCATATAAAGAAATCAAATGGATAAGGATGAAATACCTGTAGAGCTTCAGCTATTCTCTCTACCAAACCCAAAACAACATCTTCCAAGTCTTGAAAGGTAGGATAAAATTCCATTTTATCATCATCTAATGTCAATTCCATCTTAAATATTGGCAGCCCTTGTTGATCTTCTTGGTGAAAGAGTTTAACAAATCCTTCTACAGTCCTCTTTAAGAGATCCTTTAGCTGCATGATATCATAAATTACTATTACTTTAGAAAGTACAAATTCAACCTTTAACTAAAATCAGTGAACTTATTGTCTATAATTAAGTAATTCTATCAATCCAATTAGTCTTGAAAAATATCTTTAACACAATGTGCTCTTAATAAATGTAGTCTAAAACAATAAATAGAACAATATATGCAAACTTTAATTGTTTTATAGAATATGAACAATCTTAAAATAGCAACTCAGAATCTTCCACATTCTTTAGTAATTTTCTCCCTGGTACACAAACATTCCAAAAGAAAAAATAACATAATGAAGACTGAGGGGAGGGGAAGCCTGACACCTGAAGGTGTGTGTGTCATGGGGTTACATGCACATGGGGTGAGGGACAGTGGTATGTTAGAGATAGCTTCTGTTATGTCACAAGAGCCAACTGTTAAATATTCAAAAATTTTGTGAGACTTCCAGTAAGATGGCAGAATGGACAGATGCTGTGCCAACTGCCTCCCAGGATCCCACCAAAATTACAAATAATTTACAAGATATTCAACCTCGGAAGCTCCCTGGACACTAGATGAACAGAACCTCTGGGCGAGGGACTTAAAGAGGAGGCCACGTTGAGTCTGGTGGGAGGGGCGGCGATGGGGGAAGGCGAACCCTGGGAGGGATACCTCAGAGGTGGGGAGGCTTCTCCGGTTGGGGGAGGGACCCTCTGGCCCCACACCGTGCTCATCAGCCCAGAGTTACTTTACCGGGAGGAAGAGTTCTATGATAGCTGGAAGTAGAAAATAGTGAGGACTCTCTTTGCTCAACTCGGTGAGGCTGGGGGAGGCTGGAGAGCCAGTGGGGCCGGAAAACCGACGCAATCACTGGTGAGCACTCGCCCGGGTCCTGGTGGAGGGAGTAGCTTTGTAAGCGGGGCCCAGGAGCCTGCGGGAAGGACTGAACTGAGTGCCTTTGGCACGGGAGCCGGCGGTTTTTGGGACCATTGTTCCCCTGGTGTGGATCTTGCACATGAGTAGTGCGTAGGAGGCGCCATTTTTTCAGGGCTGGGCCCTCCCACAGAGGCTCAGGTCTGGGATTGCATTGGTCTGTTGGAATACGTGCAGGATTGCATGCGTGCGCACGCATGCGGCCTTGGATCCCCATCCTCCACACTGCTTGTGCTGCATAGCCAGGGAAACACCGGGCAGGCGCACTCTGACTCCAACAGACTGCTTATTGAGACCTACATATGAGGGCCAGTGACACTATCCTCTACAGCTAAGATGCTGAACAACAGCTCAACCTGGAGCTGGGCTGCCCATGAGTAGCCAGCGTCAGCGTAGGCTACAGCCCCTGCTGCAGTGGGTTGCCATGGGCTACCGTGTGTAGCCAGCAGCCAACATGAGTGGCCAGCAGCCACTGTGAGCGGCCATCCAGAAGCTGGCAACTGATCTGCCTCGCCCTGAAAAAGCACAATGATGGTGGCAATTTGAGCCAGTGAAACAACATCCTCCACAACTAGACTGAAGAACGAAAGGATAGCAACTTGTCTGTTCCCCTTCCCCCAATTCCCCGATAAAAATCTTAAAAAAAAAAAAAAGACGTAGAGTGGCTGAGTGGATAAGAAAACAGGATCCATGCATATGCTGTTTACAAGAGACTCATCTCAGATCAAAAGACACACACAGACTGAAAGTAAAGGGATGAAATAAGATATTTCACGCAAATGGAAATGAGAAAAAAACGAGTAGCAATACTTATTTCAGACAAAATAGACTTTAAAATGAAGACTACAATAAATGACAAAGAAGGACACTACATAATAATAAAAGGATCGATTCAACAAGAGAACATAACCCTAGTAAAATCTATGCACCCAACATATAGGAGCTCCTAAATATATAAAACAGATTTTGACAGACATAAAGACAGAGATCAACAGCAACACTATCATAGTAGGGGACTTCAACACCCCGTTGTCACCAATGGACATATCCTCCAGACAGAAAATCAACACAGAAACAGTGGCCTTAAATGACACTTTAGACCAGCTGGATTTAATTGATATTTTTAGAGCATTTCACCCCAAAGCAACAGAATATACA